ATTTGATTCCTATATCATAAGGTTAATAGAGATATTACTAACGGGAATAGCTATCATTAGCATGTAGCTAGCTGGTATACCCAGAGACCCCAAACTGTTAATGGCTGCAGCTCTAAAAGGAATTGGACTACCAATGTGCACAAAGACAAAGGAAGCATACTGTTAGTGTGAAAGATTTTTAACAGAAATATGTGTACAGAGACAGAAGTAAGAATATTCCTAATACAACTCTGAAAATTGCCCATCTCCTCATGGGCAAATGCCCAGCTAAATCAGCTCAGCCCAAACCAGGGCAGCTGAAACATGAACGCTTACCACAAGTCTGAGGTACCTTCAACTAGGAAAATAAGAGAAAGAACTTAGGCAAGTCCCAGAGAATATAGACAGAAGGAAAAACAAAAAATTCAAAAAGTACAGGGCCCTCCCTGGGGGCCTACTGGGTTAAAGCACAGTACTATGAAGCTTGCCACAGCTGCTTCAGCACAAATTCGATCCCTGGCCAGGGAAGTGATCCACATGACACAGCAGACCTCTCCTGACACACCCGCTGCTCCACTCAGCAGTGTACTTAAGTCATTCTGCCTGTTCTGCTCCCCACTTTGTCTTTGGTGAATCCTCTCACTGCCCCTGCACCTCTGGCCTGTACCCAGTTCTGTATGCATGAATAAATAAATCTTTTAAAAATTCAAAAAGTACAGATTGAGATAACAGCTGCCATCGTCGCTGCAAAGGACAGCCTCCCCACTTATCTCTTTCTCATGTCTTTTCCAAGTATTTCTTTCAAGAGTCTCTGCATGTCTCTCCCCCATGTGTCTCCTTCAAGTCTCTTTCTCAGCCATAACAGAGTACTTGTTGGCACTTGTTGGCTACAGAAGCAAGAGAGAGAAGGGCCTGTCTCCTGCGTTTCATATTATAGGTCCACCTGGCCACTCAGTTCCTTCTTAAGTTCTTAGTAGCCCCTGTTCAGGAAATCTGGTACATAGCACACTGGGACTTGTAGCCCAGGGCAGCTGCATTGCAAGAGGGCAGGGAATAGCATCCATTCTATGCTCCTCCTGTTTAGCACTACCATTTATTAGTCAGTTTACTTGAGTCCTGCATAATCTACTTATATTGGGGTCCTGCAGTCTACTTATGAGTATTTGGAGGCTTTCCCACACCAACAAGTAGGGAGTACAAAAATTCAATTAAATTCTGACACTATCTACCCAAAGAGAGAGTCAGATTCCAGGAATTTCTCAGATTCCTGTCAGCCTCCATTTCACCCTCCAGGGGTGTCACCCGGGCTTCTGGCAAACCCTTAATAAGTTGGAGGTTACCATGACCTCTTCAGATACCAGCTGTAAGCCCATGGTATTACCTACACTTTTGGTCAGCTGGTTATAAGTCAAGGGTTTCCATAAACCCTTCTTCAGGCTCAGTTAATGTGTAAGAACAGCTCAACTCAGGAAATCTATTTACTCACTGGATCCCCTATTTATTACAAAGGATATTATTCAGGGTCAGATGGGAGAGATGCATAGAGCAAGGTGTGGGGAAAGGGTGGCGCTTCCGTGCCCTCTCCCAGCATTGCTCTTCTCGTCAAGTCTCCACATGTTCACTGCTTGGAAGCTCTCTGATCCCCCTTTTTTGGAAGCTGCATTATATAAGCATGGTTGCTTAACTCATTGACCACTGGGACCATCTGCAGTTGAACTCGGCCTCTAAGCCCTTTCCACTCTCATCCCTTGAGCTCAGAGTATAGGGACCAGAAATTCCATCCTCCGATCCAGAGGTTAGTTCTCCAGGCCACCTTCTAAAGTACTTTCCAGAAAGCCTCCTTCATACATAACAAGAGGTACCTTGTTGCTCTCAGCACTTAAGAAATTCCAGAGTTTTGGAATTTCTTTCTTCTTTTCCAGAGTTTTGTGAGCCTTGAACTTAATGAATGCCAGATATGTATAAAAAACATAATCTGGTGATTTGAATGACTAAATTCTTTCTTATAAATCACAGTATTGCACATGCTTTATTGCATTTAATCTTCACAGAAATCCAGTGTATTCTTTTTATTATAAAAAATTCATGTTCCTTAAAATACCTTGATAATATAAATGGCAATTTATAATCTGCTAAATGAGACTTGCTCATCCAGCAGTTCTGACTGGTGATTTCCTTTATAAGCTTTAAAGATAGGAAAATTCTTAGTTTCTCATTCTTCTACTGAAGCCCTTGATTTGTGACAATTCAGTGAAACAAGCTTTTGATTGGGAGCTATACATTATTGCAATTACTTAGTGAAAATATTCCTGTCTTCTAGGCTAATGTTGTCCTTAGTTTGGTCTCAGCGTGATCATCATGTGGTGAAATGGCAGAAAAACACTTCATATACTTAAGAGTGATCAGCATTTGTAAATTGACCTCCAATTGTACTCCTTTAATATTAGTATTCTTGTACTATATATTATTAGGGGCCTCCCTGGTGATCTGGGCTCAGGTCTTAGCGTCTACCATTGCTTGGCCCACTGAACCAGCCTGAGTTGGATCGCTGGCCAAGGAGCTGATCCACATGGTGCAGCAGACCACTCCTGTCTCACCTGCTGCTCCTCTTAGCAGTGTATTTCAATAGATCTATCTGTTCTGCTCCCCACTCTGTCTCTGGTGAATATTATTACCTCCCTACTGCTGGCCTATTCCCCAGTTTTTCTAGCAAAAATAAGTAAGATCTTTAAAAATATATACATAATCTTAACTAAGAAAATTAATTTTGTTCAGAAACAATACGGTTTGACTATTATATGTTAAAAGGATAAAAATATTAACTCAGATTTGTCACTATTTGTATGTCTTAGAACCTTGATATTTGCATTTACTTTAACCAAGGTTTTTTCTTTTTAAATGAAATTCCTCCTATGTTTTATACTGTCACTCTACTACAGATCAAATCTTTGTATACAGGGGTTAAAGTCTCAGAGTTATCAAACTGTTGCCAGCCACTGTGGCATGACTTTGATCCCCTGGGCAGGGAGGGTGACCCACATGGTGCAGCAGACCTTTCCTGTCTCACCTTCTGTTCCCTCAGCAGTGTATTTCAATAGATCTGCCTTGTTTTCCTCTGTCTCTGGTGAATCCTCTCACATCCGCACCTCTAGCTTATACCCCAGTTCTTGTATGCATAAATAAAATAAAAATAAATCTTTTTTAAAATGTACCATTTTAGTGAGGGATACTAGTAATGGGAGTTTTATATGTATATAAAACTGCTCTTTTATAAAGGTTTTAAGGGCCCTTCCTGGTGGTGCAGTGGGTTAAAGTACAGCACAAGTGGGATCCCCAGCCAGGGGGGTGACCCATGCGGCACAGCAGACCTCTCCGCTGCTCCTCTCAGCAGTGATTTCAGTCAGTTTGCCTGTTCTGCTCCCCAACTCTGTCTCTTATGAATCCTTACCCCCCTTCAGTCCCATACCTCTGGCCTCTACCCCAGTTCTTGTATGTATAAATAAATAAATCCTTTTTAAAAAACAGGTTTTAAAAATTAAAGCTCAATACAGAATTCTGCAGTTAAGCATCAGTCAGTGCTGTCTTTTATATTTATCACCTTGTCTGTCAGTGACTGGTTAATATGTTTAAAGTGATGTGCTTGGTGTTTCTGTGGTGGTGGTTGTCATTTAGTGTTACGCAGTTCTATTATAGTTTAACCTTATTCTCGGGGAAATAGGACAATGAAGTAAATTTTTTACTGAAAAAAACTGGATAATTTTTATTTTTGAAACAATTTACATTCATCCATAAAAAATCTCTTTAATTTTTCTTTGGTCTAGCTTCATTTAAAACATGGTATCAAATATTTTAAGAATGTTTATCTAGTATTAGTATAGCACAGTTACTTAGTGTAAGGTGTCAAGGAAATCAGTGTTCTGGCATTACAGATAACTAAGGTAACATACTCTGTTGATTGAGGCAACATTTAGTGGTATAAAGACTTAAATTTCCAATTCATAATAGATTTAAAACAGCTCTTCAAAACTGTAAACAGGTTAGAAATTCAAGCTTATTGAAGCCACTGAAAAAAATCTTGGCCCTCCCTGGTGGTGCAGCAGGTTAAAGCACTGCACTGAGAAGCTAAAGCCACTTCCGCATGAGTTTGATTCCCACCTGCCCCGGAGTTGACCACATGGCGCGGCAGACCTCTCCTGACACGCCCGCTGCTCCCTTCAGCAATGTACTTCCTCGATCTGCCTGTTCTGCTCCCCACTCTGTCTCTGGTGAAGCCTCTCACCGCCCCTGAGCCTCTGG